ACTTGGCCTCTAAGGACGACGATCTGGTCGAAACGTTAGGCCGTGAATAAAGTGAATAATAGTCAACATCCCAAGCCTACATCTCTATTGCCGCTCGTTTTCGAGTTTCCGAGAGTGCTGCATTGCCACTGCTTAGTCGAAACACAGGAAGGACCTACTTCTTCAGTACAATGTGCCGTTGAAAGTGTACTCGTTTTCGTAACTGTCGTCTTTTTCTTACAGAGCTAGGTTTTATGGTGAAGACCGATGCTGATGGTCTGTGTCCCCTTGCTGGCGATGGATGTTGAGGGAGCACCAACACAGCCATTTGTCTCCTCTTAGCCTCCACTACTATATCCAGTCATGATCCCAACAAACAGTAGGGCATATGACGGGGCGTGCATTGGAGCGCTGCCAAAGCTTTTTCAGCAAAGTTGCCATTGTCAGTCCATAATAAATGAAGCTATCTTGGAAGAGAAGCTATCTTGGCTGAGCTCCGATTCACTGCCCTCACAAGTGCCATCGTTTGCAGGGATTATGGCCATGAGTGGAATATACCTACTGCTATCGCCTAGAGAATCAAAAGGTGTGGCTCAGGGGATCGAGTATTTCTGCGGTTCTAAGGAAGTACTGGCACGAGTTTTGTGCTGTTGCTCTCTCAAAATGCCCTGCGGTACACTGATTGTGACTCGAAGAGCAACGTTGACAGCAAAAAAGGGTTCTCTTTTCACGTTCCGGATTCAGAACTGATCATTTGCAGTTGTGAAGCGATCAATTTCTATTTGGATGGAAAATGTCGACTATTGGATGGAATAACTGCTATAGATTCGATAAACGACGTGGATGAAACCTGCAAGCATTTCAGACTTCAACGTGATCGCTTTTGATAGAGGTAACCCTGTTCATGTGATTCACAAATGCAATAAGTATGTGTATGCAGGGTAAAGCATCATTGTGTGAAACACATGGAGATTCGTGCTTGGTCGCTGGGAAGGGGGTTGGTCGTTGTTGGGAGAGGGAGTCGTATATGGCCTTGAGAAAATTTGCCGCGTTGGGAAAAAATTCTTCCCGCTTGTTGACTTTTCGCATGATTCTTTCCTGTATCGTGTGAACTAAGTACATAACCCCCGCTCACAGAACCTCCTTGGACGGGGCAGGTGTTGGAGAAGGGGGGAGGGTGTACTGACACTACCATTTCACACATCACTATGCTGTACCCTGTGTGTATATGGTAGAGTAAGACAAAATGAGGAACAAACCCGAAAAGACTCCCAAGCTCTCAACGATATCGGGCTTCTTGGCGTCAAAGAAGAATCAGTACTCCTTTTTTTGCAGGAAAGAAATCTAGTGATCAAAAGCCAAAGAAGAAAGGCCGAAAGTCTAGGAAATCGAAAAGCAAAGCGCGAGCGGCTAGCAAGAAAAGCCAGGTGAGAAACTGTTGTTCCGATAAATTTCGAAGGCAAAAAAACTTGCTTAGAATTTCTCTTTCAGGTGAGAATTAGGAGTGAACCTTTCATTCCCGGTGCAATTGAATTGGACGTCCAGACCGTATGCAACTACGACGGAATCATTATAAAGGTCTGTTTGAAAATCTTCCTTAAAAACACATTCAACGTATGTCTAGGAGTCTCCAGCTGAGGGGATTGTATGTGGCCACTGGAGGGAGGGAGACCAGAGTTTATATTCAAATTTTTGTAAAATGGTCATAGTTTGAATTGTTACATTTCTCGGTTTTCCCATATCGTGTTCGCCACATACCTCTCTCCCTCCCTCCCCCCCCCAACTCCTCCCTCTCGTCTGCTCGACAACACCTTTTTGGTGAAAGAAGGGGCAGCCAAATGTTAGCCAAATTTAGGAAGATGGTAGATAGAATGGAATGGGATGAGAACGAGGGTGTCGTGTTGCGTAATTTTGCCCTGACTGCAGGGCGTGTCCTGCCCCCTAATTATCAGGTGGAAGTTCATCGTTGTAAAAAGCGTTCAGTCTAGACTCAAAGGGAGCGATATGTTAGTAAGTGTGGCGCCTAAATCGTCGCTCACCTTTAGTAACCCCTCCCATTTCCCACCAACCAGTTGTTGGTTCAAGCGGCAGCACACTCGTATCGGTGTGGAGCCTTTTTGTCACTCTGACCGTGTCTGACTGTCACCTCACCCTTAGGATACACGCTAAATAGATAATCCTCTACCAGATGCTAATTATTATGTGTATTATATTTTATCGAGGCGGAGATGGTGTAGTGACAAGTGGGGCGCTCACCATTCGCGCGGTCCCGGGTTCGAATCCCGGGTCGACTCCCGCCCAGGCCAACCAAGCCTTCTACCCTTCGGGACGCGTGTGCATTCGTACCAGATTCCGTCTGGCGAGGAATAAAACAGCTGACCCATCTGTAAATGCGCGCTGCACGCCAGGCCGCAATTCGATTTGTATATCGGCGCAACAGTCGCATTCCAACTCACTCCCCAACCCACTACGCATGTCTGTAATGCGAAGTAGACATCCGCGTCGCCGCCCATCCACCAAAGGGATGGAACATCAACGGCGCCGAAGACTTATCCTTTTCACTCATCGCTGTGTTATATTTTATCGATCCATCACAGAAGCAGAGCTGTTATAAAACGCCTCTGTATCCTCTCGGAATCATATAGTTCCCACCCAACTTGCCTGGAAGGAGGAACGTTCTTACGAACATCAAGTCGAATTTTGTTACCTCAGCGCTCGACCAAAGGTCGGACGAACTACAAAAACTATTCGAAAACAAACGAATTAAGGTCTTCTCACCGGTGCCCATCAGTGGCGAAGTTTTCCCACGAAATGCTCACGAAAACTGCTCTACTGTCATCAACGGAACGGAGGCCCAACTGAAGATGCTCTTCAATTCGAAAAGTTGCGCTCTCTCACGGGTATGAGCTCCATCGAAGACATAAATACAAATCTCATTAAGCAGTGGTTTCAGAAAGGTTTTGTGTTTGAAAATGTCATCGTCGTCAAGCAGAACAATCTCAGTGAAATGCCTGTGATCACGGAATATGACAAACTCTACCGTATCTCTTGTGACTACAGTAACCAAACGACGAAAATGTCTGCCACCAGTGTTTTACAAATAAAGTGGGTTTCTTACGCTAAGGACCGCTGTATGGGTGAGTTTAACTTTATGAGAGATTTCCAGAGACATGGACAAAATGTCGATTCACCCAAGTGGAAAGATACCTTTCAGTCCGATGAAGATGGAGCTGCGATCGAAAGAGGAAGTCCGAGGTGGGACTTGTTTTTGTTGGAAATTCTGCTAATGCCGGTGGAGGCAAATTTCATGCCGATGGTCTGGGTGCTTGATAA